CCACAGATTGTGAAGTACTTCATTGATGCAAAGACATTCATCAAGGTGAAATTTGTTTACCCAAAGAACCCGGAAAGCGTGGAGCTTATGAGCTCATTTTTCGACGAGGCAAATCTCCCAACCGAATTTGGAGGGAAAGCTTTGCTGCAGTATAACCATGAAGAATTCTCCAAGCAAATGAACCAAGACGATGTTAAAACTGCAAACTTCTGGGGACTAGTTCACAGTAACAATCACCAGCAGCACGCAAGTAAAGGGTTTTCTGGAGCCGAGATTGCTCCTGAGACAATCCAGACCAACCCTTAACCAGTTTTGAAGGCAATCTATTGGTGTAATAACCAATATATGTAGCTCTTGATGCTAAGGAGAGAGGTTGTAAGATTTAAACGTGGCATTGATTAAATAAAAGGATTTGTGATTATAAGCTAATCCAAAACTCTTACACTCATAAGCATTTATTTACAGGAAGCTGATAATAGATTCACATTACCAGCAACAAGCTTTGTTTCTTTCAGTTTGAATCTCAACAAACACAAGAAAAAAAGAGAGTGATTTCTTTCAAAATTTTAAGGCACAAATAAAAAACACATGAAGATTATACTACACAGCAGTATTAGCTATTAGACTATATAGCTTAGAATTCTGCAGTCAAAAAGAGATGTGGAGTGGAATTAGAGAGGGAGAGAAGGAGAAGAAGCTCGAGGCAATTTGAGTGAAACTAGATAAGCCTCCTTCTGAAGTTTCTGGTGGTTGATTGATAGGTACGCACCAGAAGGCCAACCCCAATGCCAAGACCTACACAGACACCAAGACCAATTCCCACACCAACCCTCACACCAGCATTGAACCACGACATCTCGCCATCTTCACCATCTGCGTACTCTCTATTCCAATACATGTCGCCATATTCTCCTTCATAATCTTGTTTGTAGCTTTCGTATTCTGTTACCTGCACAGCCAAAAACACCGATACTTAAGACACATGTACGTAGTAAGCAACTGCAAAGAAGTAGGCAACAAAGAGATCCGTGTACGTAGTACATGTCTGTCTCTAAAAAGAAAATAAGTAAGACACATTCATAGAGATAGTCAAGTAAAGAATACAATGGTCATTCAATCACTTGTAGAAAGAGACTCATGGTATTTTTGTTCCAATCTTAGAAACTCTTTCTGATTGTATCTCACACTGTCTACACCTCCATGACTTAGGTGGAAATTATAGACGTAGCAATATAGTTAACCGGAAGCTCTTAACCTCATGTGAGTATAAAGATCCATCTCCTATAGATTTTGACGATGTCAACTACAAGAACCTCCAAATAAAACTTCATGCATGAGCTAATCTTAACATGGACTCTTGAATAGGGAAAGTGTTTTCTTATTCAATCTATGCATAAATTAAAGATGATATATTGTCGCATTACATGTGAAAGTCACAGATATTTAAATAATGGTTCACAAAATAAGTGACTGTAGCAGACAGGAGGATAAGAATTCAGATACTAAGATCACAAGACAAGAGGCAAATGGGAGAGAGAGTGTGCGTGTGA